CACACACACACACACACACACGCACAGGTGATACAAACATGTGCTGTGGTGGCGGCTCCACCTGCACTCATACTTACCTACGGTCACTGTCCATACAGTCACTTCAATATAAAGCTAATTTTAAAAGCCAAGTCATTCAAACACCTGTTTTTGAACAGTACATCGCCAGCCATTTGGACACAGCAATTCAGCAGCCACGGAGAATAGATGTTATCGCTCTTGTAAGCCCAGCAATTACACACACATTCTCTCCGTGCCCAGGGGCGACTTGTACCACTTGGCCAGTAACTGTCACATGATGTTGGGCGTGCATAGGCATCACTTGTATCTCAAGGACTTTTCATTTAGTTGAAAATTAATAACAGGAATAAGAACTCCTCAGATCGAATGCATGCTTGATTTCCAAAATCAATACTCCTTTGACCCATGCGTTTACAAGAAGGCACGATGGAAACCAGAACGTATTCATGGCTGGACAATGAGCGTCATGCTACAAATCAACGTCTACGGCCCCTGGCTGAAGAAGTACTTACAAACGCGTCAGCTAATGACCCACATAAGACTTGGCAGTAATGAGGAAGGAACCGTACTATACAGAAATCAGTGAACTGGAAAACAAAGATAGCATGCGGAGAATCCAGAGCCAAATTCGAGCTCCTCCGATAAATGAGAAACTAACAAATCCCGTCGTGAGCTGGTGTCCCTTACAACTGAGCGCCGGCTTGGCCGGGCCGGGATTCCCAGTGGGAAAGACGGAATCACCACTCGGAGCCCTCAAGGTGACGGATGCGATCAGACAAGGGGCTGTACGGGGAGCTTTCCTGGGGTGTGGGCTGCGTGATCTCCCATCTTACAAGAGATCAAAGGAGACAGAAGCGACCTCCCACGGCCATGGGAGAAGACACAGAAGTGGAGCGTGTCCTGAGGACACAAGGTCCCTGCTCTGGGAAGTTCCTAGAACATGGAGACACTCAGAGAGAGAGTCTTCCCCCTCCAGACAGCCCTCTACTACATCTGAACCTGCAGCCTCCTAACCTGTGAGAAAAGAAAGGTGTTTGTTAAAGCTGCCCTCTGGCGGTAATTCTGCGATCGCAGCACGCAACTGCAGGCACCGCTGATGACCTGGTCCAGAAAGCAGCCAACCCGTCAGTCGGTCACAGCAAGGATGGGAGCGGGGCTTGATCACGCAAGCCACAGAGCTCCGTGGTGGTTAGCTGCTGTCGGGACGCCCCGTGCCCAACAGGAAACACCGCCTGGCCCCGCGCCACTGCAGAGCCTGAGGCCAGTGTGAACACAGAGTGGGCAGACATCGGGGTGCAAAGTTCTGAGGGACAGGCGCTGGGCCATCGGGCCACTCGTTTTCACTCACCGCCAGCAGAAGACGCACTTGTTGGCGCAGGCCAGGCTCGGAGTGGCTTCCATGCAGCGGTGGCTCTCGATGCCATAGAACGTGTGTTTGTAACAACCTCCTCTGCCCCGGAGCATGGACTGTGGCAAGCAGAAGACAAGGGGGTCTTAACATCGAGTCCTCAAAGCACAGAAACAAAACACCCAGCACTGCAACAGCCATCGGAACTCGCGCCGCGCTCAGCCTGCGCCTGGAAGTGGACGTGAGGGCACGCAGTGTGTGTGGGGAGGCCTGCCTCTGGCAGCTCTTCCGGGAGGACTCCTCATGCTGTGGCCTTCTCTCTCGTCTCCAGTAGGGTGTGCCTGTGGCCGGGTGCCATCAGCCCCCGTCCCGCACCATCCTCACATCCCTTCCACTGGGGGCACACCCAGTTGCAGCCACTGTGTCCATCCCTCTGGCTGAGGGGCTGCCTCCGTCTCCCTGGCTAAGCATAATGTCCATCCTTCTTCGGGGACTAGTCCTGCCTGAACTCAAGGGCCAGTGAGAACAGAAAGCTAATGAGATGGATGGGCAGTGGCCGAGTGTGAGGAGAGCGCAGGACCAGATGGAAGGGCAGCAAAGGGCCCACTATGCAAATGAGGTGTCTGTGGCATACCAAGAGGGGATTGGTCAATTTGTGCCCCGCCCCACCCCGACTAAGGGGAGGAGCTTGCCTGAACGTGGGGTGTGTGTGTGTGTGTGTGTGTGTGTGTGTGTGTGTGTGTATCTGTGTGTGTGTGTCTCTGCCTCTCTCTCTCCCCAGAGTTGAATTTCTGGAGTCAGAAGCAAGAAGAGCAGCAGCAGCAGCCGCAGCGGCAGGGACGCCCTCAGAGAGACGTAACCCGT